CTGAATTCTGTGCGTAACTTCACTACTACTACTTCCATTATCATTACAGCCGGTTTACCCCCTGACGTACCTTGGGGTTAACGACAGGTAGCGGCTTTTGTAACAGTGTGGATACCGGTGCAGCCTTCCAAGTCTTCGGCAAAACTGTTTGCCAAGAGCTCTCTCCCTGCGTTTTACCGTTTCCTTGAGTTGATGCGACCTGAGCGTAAGTGCTCAATTTTTCTTTGGGTAGTTCCGACGTTTTTGGGCTCACGAGACGCTCGCTGCAGAGTTTCCCTCTGGCCTCCGATTTCCGCGTCGGAAACGCAAACCTTGCCGCCTCCTTACACTGTTCACAGATCCACTCTACCCAGCTATTTGCGCAGAAGAATGCATAGTGGTCTTTTCTAATGCTGAACAACTAGAATGTGCCCACCTTTTGCAGGTTTCACATTCAATTATCTTGACGACCTACTTCTCCCAGCTATCCTTCAAACATGGATAGGACACGCGCGTCATTTTTAGCACAGGTAATCAAAAATGCAAAACAGTAATATGGAAAACGTGAGGTGAGTACGACACGTAAAAGCGTTACACAAAAACCAAATTAACCAAAACAAATGTCTATGCACGGAGTTTTGATCCGCGCTGTTAAGTGCTCTTTGACAGAGCACTGTAAATAGCTACGATCGGAAAACTCGGAGGATAAAGTGTAAAACACCGCAAAGTAACAATTTATGACAATTGCACTTTACTCTTACGATCGACACAATAAGCGAATCAGAGCACGACAAAAATTTCAACCGCGCGCCAGCGTACCGCAGGGTCAGGTAAGGTCGCATAAATGTGTGTAACCTAGGGTACAAAGTGATCCGGGCTGCGGGAGGACTCATGCATATTCATTGTACGACCACATGCACAGGTAAGTGTTGGCGGCAATGAATGGCATTTCTGCATATACTCCACACACGCCTCTCCTTGAATATGGTGTAGCATCCCCGTCCAAAATGTTTCACGGTCAAAATTTCAAACAAACCATGTAAAAACGGACTTTCGTGTATCATCAAACAGAACAATATTTTATACAT